ATATATGCGAAGCGCAGTGAACGGTGGTATAATTTCTTAAAACTATTGTATGTCATTTTATATCACAAAACAATATCGAACCGCCTACATACAAAATGGAATGTTTCTAGAAGGCAAGATTGTGTTAGCTGTGGTATGATTTTGATTTTGAAAAAAAGTTCAAGTCATCTCGAAAGCTATATATTTTTACCCTCAAAAAGGCTCATTTTAAATTTTGTAAGATAACAAAATTAGACAAAAAAATTATTAGGGACTACGAAAATTCCCCATTCTCACAGAAACGATACCTAATGTAATCGAATGAAGCTATTATTCTTTAAAGAGATTCGTTATTTAAGCACTTATCTGGAAACGGCTAAACTCAAATAGGTTTCTCCGAAAGTAAACTTCATTAAAATATTCAAAAATTTAAAATGAACGACGCATCAGAACGACGCTGAATGCATATAATTTGGAAAAAAGAGCATTGCTAAGTGTTTTTATTATTCGTCTAATTAAATTACCACTTATTACTGCGAACGAAGGAAACGTTATGTTTTGTGGACCGAGACCTGTCGATATTTACGAGGCAAGCCGAGTGAAATATCTATGGTCGATCCACAAAACATGTTTTCTGAGTTCTCAATAAATAGGTTTTTTATTATATATACTACTTAGTAAAAGAAAAACCAAACTACAAGGTAAACAACGAAATGTCTATTCATAAAAGAGATATTTTCGAATGGATAAAAGTTGTTATTTCCATGAGATAACACGTTATCTCACTCTGCAGGGGGTCGCGCTGGCGACATCAAAATTTCTTTACTCTCGCGTGATTCGCTCTCGACCAATGAAACGCTACGAACACCAAACTTTGACAAGTGGTATATAATAATAATATATATATAAGTACATAACGTAATTAACTACAATACTAGCTCCCGCATACTTGACGCAGTTCATTGCGTGCATATTGTTAAAGAAAACTCTAGTGAAAACAAGCTGATTTGCCTGAGCGTACCTTTAGTAGAAGAAAATGTCGCAGTATTCATTCTTTGTACTGGTGGTCTCACTTACTCTTGACCTGGTGGTATGTGATCGGCCTATATACAACATAGCCCATATGGTTAACGCAGTCACACAGATTGACCCGTGGTTAGGGTAAGGAACTCACGCGCAGCATGCAATGTTTACTTTCAGTATACAGCGATAAATAAGAAATTAATTGTGATTAAAAATGTGTTGACCATCTACTAGCCATGCATATGAGTAACATGAGCAGGAAAACGAAGCGAAATACAAAATAAGGTTGGATCTAGAAAGAGTATAGTATGAATATCTTGCCCGTTTGCTTCGAATATATAATTATATATGCGAAGCGCAGTGAACGGTGATATAATTTCTTAAAACTATTGTATGTCAGCTTATATCACAAAACAATATCGAACCGCCTACTGTACAAAATGAAATGTTTTTAGAAGGCAAGATTGTGGTAGCTTATTGTTAAAGAAAACTCTAGTGAAAACAAGCTGATTTGCCTGAGCGTACCTTTAGTGACAGAAAATGTCGCAGTATTCATTCTTTGTACTGGTGGTCTCATTTACTCTTGACCTGGTGGTATGTGATCGGCCTATATACAACATAGCCCATATGGTTAACGCAGTCACACAGATTGATTCGTGGTTAGGGTAAGGAACTCACGCGCAGCATGCAATGTTTACTTTCAGTATGCAGCGATAGATAAAAAAATAATTGTGATTAAAAATGTGTTTACCATCTATTAGCTATGAATATGAGTAACATGAGCCGAAAACGAAGCGAAATACAAAATGAGGTCGGATATAGAAAGAGTATAGCATGAATATCTTGCCCGTTTGGTTCGAATGTATAATTATATATTTGCGAAGCGCAGTGAACGGTGATATAATTTCTTAAAACTATTGTATGTCAGCTTATATCACAAAACAATATCGAACCGCCTACAGTACAAAATGGAATGTTTCTAGAAGGCAAGATTGTGTTAGCTTGTGGTATGATTTTGATTTGAAAAAAAAGTTCCAGCTCGAAAGCTATATATCTTCACCCTCAAAAAGGCTCAATTTCAAATTTTGTAAGATAAACAAAAATTAGACAAAATAATTAGTATAGACTACGAAAATTCCCCATTCTCACAGAAACGATACCTAATTGTAATCGAATGAAGCTATATATTCTTTGAAGAGATTCGTTATTTAAACACTTATCTGAAACGGCTAAACTCAAATAGGTTTCTCCGAATGTAAACTTCATTTAAAATATTCCAAAAATTTAAAAATGAACGATGAATGAGAATGACGACGCAGGAATGCACTATAAATTTGGAAAAAGAGCATTGCTAAGTGTTTTTATGATTCGTCTAATCAAATTACCACTTATTTATTGCGAACGAAGGAAACGTTATGTTTTGTGGACCCGAGACCTGTCGATATTTAACGAGGCAAAGCCGAGTGAAATATCGATGGTCGAGGATCCACAAAACATGTTTTCTGAGTTCTCAATCAATAGGTTTTTCATTATATACCATGACTTAGTCAAAGAAAAACCAAACTACAGGTAAACAACGAAATGTCTATTCATAAAAGACATAATTCAAATGATAAAAGTTGTTATTTCCATGAGATAATACGTTATCTCACTCTGCAGGGGGTCGCGCTGGCGACATCAAAATTTCTTTACTCTCGCGTGATTCGCTCTCGACCAATGAAACGCTACGAAACCAAACTTTACAAGTGGTATATAATAATAATATATATGTACATAACTTAATTAACTACAATACTAGCTCCCGCATACTTGACGCAGTTCATTGCGTGCATATTGTTAAAGAGAACTCTAGTGAAAACAAGCTGATTTGCCTGAGCGTACCTTTAGTAGCAGAAAATGTCGCAGTATTCATTCTTTGTACTGGTGGTCCCACTTACTCTTGACCTGGTGGTATGTGATCGGCCTATATACAACATAGCCCATATGGTTAACGCAGTCAAACAGATTGACCCGTGGTTAGGGTAAGGAACTAACGCAAACATGCAATGTTTACTTTCAGTATGCAGCGATAGATAAAAAATTAATTGTGATTAAAAATGTGTTTACCATCTATTAGCCATGAATATGAGTAACATGAGCTGAAAAAGGAAGCGAAATAGAAAATGAGGTCGGATCTAAAAAGAGTATAGTATAAATTTCTTGCGCGTTGGCTTCGAATAATTATATAATTATATATGCAAAGCGCAGTGAACGGTGATAAAATTTCTTAAAACTATTGTTTGTCAGCTTATATCACAAAACAATATCGAACCGCATACTGTACAAAATGGAATGTTTCTAGAAGGCAAGATTGTGTTAGCTTATTGTTAAAGAGAACTCTAGTGAAAACAAGCTGATTTGCCTGAGCGTACCTTTTGTGACAGAAAAATGTCGCAGTATTCATTCTTTGTACTGGTGGTCTCACTTACTCTTGTCCTGGTGGTATGTGATCGGCCTATATACAACATAACCCATATGGTTAACGCAGTCACACAGATTGACCCGTGGTTAGGGTAAGGAACTAACGCACAGCATGCAATGTTTACTTTCAGTATGCAGCGATAAATAAAAAATTAATTGTAATTAAAAATGTGTTGACCATCTACTAGCCATGCATATGAGTAACATGAGCAGGAAAACGAAGCGAAATACAAAATGAGGTCGGATCTAGAAAGAGTATAGTATGAATATCTTGCCCGTTGGCTTCGAATTTATAATTATATATATGCGAAGCGCAGTGAACGGTGATATAATTTCTTAAAACTATTGTATGTCAGCTTATATCACAAAACAATATCGAACCGCCTACAGTACAAAATGGAATGTTTCTAGAAGGCAAAATTGTGTTAGCTTGTGGTATGATTTTGATTTGAAAAAAAGTTCAAGTCATCTCGAAAGCTATATATTTTTCCCTTTAAAAAGGCTCAATTTTAAATTTTGTAAGATAAACAAAAATTAGACAAAAAAATTATTAGGGACTACGAAAATTCCCCAATCTCACAGAAACGATACCTAATTGTAATCGAATGAAGCTATATATTCTTTAAATAGATTCATTATTTAAGCACTTATCTAAAAACGGTTAAACTCAAATCTCCGAATGTAAACTTCATTAAAATATTCCAAAGATTTAAAAATTGAAGGATGCATGAGAAAATGACAACGCATGCATGCACTATAAATTTGGAAAGAGAGTATTGCTAAGTATTTTTGTTATTCGCCTAATTTAATAACCTTTAATTGCATTATGACGCACTTTCTGACACCATGCATGTACCCTAGGTACGGAGCAAACGCGCTCGAAGCTGATGTGGCCTTCTCTGAATATGGTACACCTGAGTACACTTACCATGGAATACCTTGCGATGCGGGGCGAGATTGTTTACGCTGGGCTTACATTGGAAATTTCATCACGGCCCTTAGAGCCAGAACAAGGCCTTATGGTCCGAGATTCAACCCAATCTTGTCTTGGTTATGTTCGATTGTAAGGTACGCTTAGAAACTATATATAGAATTGATGACACTTTGCAACTGTTTATTGTACGTTTTAATAAGTTTCAATGAGATACTTCAGCAGACAGTTCTTCCTGACCGATTTGGGAAAGTTTCTACTCATGACAAATAAAATCTTCGGGCATAAAAAAAGGGTATGCCAATAACAAGGCAAGGTGCATTTTTCTTCACTTTTACAATTGTTAAACGTATAAATAATAATGATTTTAGAACTTTACTCGATGCAGGAATATTCTAGTGGTTTAAAGGGCCTTAATTTCGAGTGGTATTATAGTATTACACTTCAAATTCGGGCCCGGAACAGTTGATGGAAAAATGAGTCAACTATAGGTCCTCCGGCAGGAATCGAACCTACGCTTTTGCGATGCTGGTGCAATGCTCTTGCCACTGAGCTACAGAGGTAGCTGACAAGAGCAAGCATGGTTACTGTGTATACATAAATGGTAATGCCGGGAATAGGGGAGGGTAAATCAATAATGATTTTTGGCACTTCACTCGATGCAGGAAGATTCTAGTGGTTTAAAGGGTCTTAATATGTATAATACCACTCGAAATTAAGACTCTTTAAACCACTAGAATATTCCTGCATCGAGTAAAGTGCCAAAAATCATTATTGATTTACCCTCCCCTATTCCCGGCATTACCATTTATCTATACACATTAACCACTATATACACATTAATCTTGTCAGCTACCTCTGTAGCTCAGTGACAAGAGGATTGCACCAGCATCGCAAAAGCGTAAGTTCGATTCCTGTCGGAGGACCTATTGTTGACTCATTTTCCATCAACTGTTCCTGGCTTGAATTTGAAGCGTGTATAATACCACTCGAAATTAAGACCCTTTAAACCACTAGTATAAATAATAGGAAAGTATTGCGTGTATTTAACTTCTTTTTTATATTATAGTTATTTTTTTATGAATAATTCAAAAGAGCTTATGTTATCCTTGCCTTATCATATAAAAGTTAGCATGCAGATTATTAGTTTCACTTCCTTAGAAGTTGTTATGAATCAATCCGAAGCGCTTGTTTCGACATTCCGGAGCATAACTATTTTCAAAACAAATAAAGATTTTATGATTGTTTTGCAGCTAAACGATTAGCCCAAATCAGTTACCAATTGCCGGGTGGATTTGCAAATTTTCTCAAGCGATTGTATCAAAACAATCCAACCAACATGAAAGTGATTGTCAGCATGCCAAAGTTATCGCAAAAAGAATTTATTCGCTCTGCGATAACGAGCCTTCAGAACAACCCGGAGATTCTCGCGAAAGTTGGCTGGGAAATTAGCTGGGATAACGAGAAAGAACCGCAGGAGCTAGAACAAGGACTAAAAGAAGTTGGAGTTCAACCTGGTCATGCCTGGCTCAGTAGTGGAATCACTAACTTTGTCAGTCAATTGCATACATAATTATATGCGTAATAACTAGGCAAATCATTGCGGAGAATACAAAGTAGTTACTATATTTGAGGGGCGCATGCATATATATAGCCTAAAATAAACCTGTATACTTCTGCCCTTATAATTGTATCTATATTCACGATGTAGCTTTGGCCTCAGCTTAGAATATGCATGCATGTGTATTAAGGTTCGGGAAATACAAATAACCTTTATAAGGTCGATTTGTACTCTGTAAAGGTCGATTTGCACTGTCAAAGCTGGCAACAAAGGTCACATGCTACTTTTTCAGTCAAATAGTTAGTCAAATAATTAATTGTTCACAGAAGCTTTAATAGTGCAAACCAGGCCTTGTGACTAAATATTTTCTTTTATTTTCCGTAATAGTTTGCAGATTTGAAATTGGACGAACTTAAAAAAGAAGTTGAATACAGAGATAGCGGGAATTTCTTCAGCAAGGTGTACGCATGGACCTTGGACAAGCAGTCGACGGCAATGAAGTATCTTGAAATCCATTTGGATGGTGTTATCGCAAACCACCCAAGTCGAGTGAACAAAGCGATTGAGCAATATAACAAGGAGAGAGGCTACATATACGGAGTAGATAAAGTCAGACTCGCGACTTTGAACGGCAATCCATTTCAACGTTTTTAATTAACCGATCTTTATAGCAAGCTTAAGCAAACCGCCGCTATTTGACGTCATCCATGAACGTCACGACGGTAACTTTAGAAAACCTGTAGTGATATAACTTGTTTGTAGTATTGCAGTCTGCAACGAAATAAATTTGAGCTAGCTTACACATGCGGTAATATGATGAATGGTTGACAGTTTGTTGTCTCTCTGCATGCATGTTTTTTTCTGCATGTTTCTAATTGCATGGTTCCATAAATTAAGATAATGTTACACGAAACAACGATATATACCAACATTAACTCGCAACGCAACAATAAGCAAAAATCTAAACAATAAAAACAGTTCATAAACTTTCAATTTGTTTCCAAAACAATTCCTGTGTTACAAACTAGCTCATATATATATCATATTTGAGACGTAGACCTTTTTCAAGACATTGTTACGTTGCAAATTGATGTTGAAAGCTGTTTCGTGTAACATTACCTTTATTACGAGACCATGCAATTAGAAGCATGCAGAAAAATTTTCAAGTTATCGTATATATATTTAGTTTGCATGTATATATGATCACATCAGGGCATACAAACCAAATATGTGTAATGATTAGTACGGAATTGTTGGTATCCCTGAGGTTAGTTTTTAGCGAATGAGGAAAAAAAACCCGGAGAAAAAGCCTTGAAGCAGGGATCTGAGAGTTTAACTTATAGGCGTTTTTCTTCTACTTCTCTGTAACCGTTGCTGAAGACAGAAAATTCGAATTTTATGTTTTTATGAGAAAATGCCAATAAACATGTTTTTATCGCTTCCGTTTCAACTACATGCCCTATAGGAGGTGCCGGCGGCTTCCGACACTTGTGAGCTCGAGCTCTGTTTTCCGAAATAAACTGAAATAAAAATGAAACTTTTTGGGTAAAATAATGGCAATTTGCTAGAGCACATGATTTAATTAAACCAAAAGTAACAAATTATAGCTAATTGTTACAAGGTTTGTATTTTAGTACAGCACAAAGAAGGTGGGGTGATAAAAAACGCCACAAGCCTACTGAGCTAAGGAGGCCGCCCCGTGAATGAGTATATATACAATTGCTGTAAAGTTCAAAAGTATTGTTTGCCACAAATGGGATCAGGCCTAGACTTTCTCATTTCCAACTTATACCCTTTACAAACGGGAATCAAAGATGATGTTTTCTGCTCAAAACGAACTGGGTAACGTCCCAAAAGTTGCTCCTCCAATTTTAAAATTCGAATTAAATGAAAATCAGGAAAAAAGGTTTTCCTAATATTTCACCCGTCATATGGCGTGAAGCCTAAAATGTTTCTTAGGTTGTTATGAGAAAAAGATATCCGCAGAAAGCACTTAACTTTACATCATCTTTATAGATTCTAAAATAAGAAATTTACTAAATATAAGAAGACACTGCTTTAAACAAAAGTGATCAAATATTCTGGATAATACTGATTGTCATAAAACAAAACGAAGATTGTCGGGTTTGCTACATTGTTGACGACAGAATCGTAAGAATCATTGCCTCCTTTCCGCGGTGGTACAACCATACTTTTGTTACCCACGGCGTACTGGCCATCTGCTACTCGTGTACATGTATCTTTGTCCCGTCAAAACCAATGTTTGAGCATAACCGACAGACATCAAAGCGAAGTAAACACCTCTACCATAAACTGCTCCTAAAGTGCAAGTATCAGAATTTTATAAGCACATTGTTGTGATGTAATTGACTGGGTGGACCGATTACTTTGTTGAGACAAGGGCTGACTCAGTTATTTATCTTTCGATTCTTTTCACTATAAAAATCCAATAAAGAACCTTCACCGGCCCATCCCAAACTCCTTGCAGCAATCAGGACCCCGCTTCGAAATCTGCTAAACTTTCCTTGGTTCACTACCGTGTCTTTTAACACAATTATAATTTTAAACAATTAAGTGAATAAATAAATATAGATAACCGTCCTACACATCCCTTACCATGGGCATTTCCAGCGTAACTCCTATTAAGACCTGTCTTGTTAATTTCTCTTACTTTGTCACCTCTCGTTCCATGGAACAAGAATTTCTCATTACTGCCAATTTTCTCGTCCAAACTTTGTTTTTTCATGAGGTACTGCTTAAACAATGATGGGTTCTGAACTCGCTGGATATGTTGAATTCGTTGATTTCCTGCTGTCTGATAAAAATGATCGGAGATATTTTTGTTCTCCTTTTGTTGCCTGGGATTATTAGGATTAAGAGTTACAAGATGTACGGCCACTTCTTTGCCACTCTTATCTCGTGCCTGAGGATCCCAGTAGTCCGGAACGGACACAGATTCTGCAGTTGCAATAACATAATTATATAAGAGACACTTATTAAGAAACAAGCGAAAAGTGTAGCTGTACGCTGCAAGCCTGCGAAACCTCTCCCGTTAAAAAGGTCGCTCATAAAACACAAAAATTGGTCTTTTCAGTTTATTAGGTTTATGATCACAAAAATGCCTGTGGTATAATGTGTATCATCACAAAAAACGTTGGGTAGTAGGTGAGGCCTAGAGTGTCATCATTTTTTATCATTATCAAAGTAAGAATGAATTACCATACAGCTGTAAAAGTGCTACTGTCTACAGGGCATTTTTTAACTGTATAACTACTGGGGCATTTACCCCACTAGGCCCTGTGCCTGCCCCAGTAGTGAACCTTGATTTCCTGATAGAATGGGCCCTTTTTTCACTGTAAAGGGTTGGTAATTTATCAGTTTTAACATATTGGCCTTGAAATTTGTTCGAAGAAATAAATACGTATGTACGGCATTTAATTGAGACGTCTGTCAGGGGCGGAGGAACAGGGGGGCTAGGGGGGGGGCAAAAATTTCATGAAGAATGCCAGAATGGGAGATTAAATATACAAATTACGTTACCACGAAATCGTCAAATTAATGCTCGCCGGCGTATCAAATGCTAATAAGATATCCTATATTGTGATACGGATCAAGTGAATGTAAATTGACTTTCTTTGATCTTTCATAGTTGTCTTTAACAGCAGATTATTCGTGGTTGTATAATTATTGTTATTATTTTCGGACCGCCATTTTGTTTGGAAATTATTTTGAGAATTTGAGAGATGATTTTTCAAATGCAGAAGATATCACAACACGCGTTGTGCCGTTTCAGTTTGCGGTGTTTGCCCATGAAAAACTACGATGAAAGCAGCAAGTAAGACTCTGAAATGGCCATTTCCGAAGATCTAGAGCATTGAAATTCCAAAAAAAATTCGCTCGGCGCCAACCATGGTGGCGCCTCGTGAAATTAGCCTCCCAAAATATATTATGTTCCGCCGCCCCTGACATCTGTATGTAATAGACGATTCCCTTTATTGAGATTTAGTAGCGCTTTGCATCATGGTTATAGTGATATCTTTGATTGTCAAGCCACATGTAAATTTTTTGTCTTCACCTGTGCAAGAGCGTTTGGGAAAGTTAGGGCAGGTGTATAAGGAATGACCAACAGCAAAATCGTGAGGAAAACATTCAATATTTTCATTCAAACTGTCTTGAATGTCAGTGATAACACCATAACCATAATGTAAAGCGCTACTAATTCTTAATAAGGGGAATCGTCTAATACATATTTGTCTTGCGCATGGGCCCTAATACACACTTTACCCCACTAGTCAAAATTCCTTAAAAAATGCCCTGACTGTCTAGAACTAAACGTGCAATCTCAAAAATTTAATGATGAACGATGCACCAGAATGACGACGCAAGAATGCACTATAAATTTTGGAAAAAGAGCATTGCTAAGTGTTTTTATTATTCGTCTATTTAAATTACCGTTTATTTACTGCGAACGAAGGAAACGTTATGTTTTGTGGACCCGAGACCTGTCGATATTTAACGAGGCAAAGCCGAGTGAAATATCGATGGTCGAGGATCCACAAAACATGTTTTCTGAGTTCTCAATCAATAGGTTTTTCATTATATACCATGCACTTAGTCAAAGAAAAACCAAACTACGAGGTTAACAACGAAATGTCTATTCATAAAAGACATAAATTCAAATCGATAAAAGTTGTTATTTCCATGAGATAACACGTTATCTCACTCTGCAGGGGGTCGCGCTGGCGACATCAAAATTTCTTTACTCTCGCGTGATTCGCTCTCGACCAATGAAACGCTACAAATACCAAACTGTGACAAGTGGTATATAATAATAATATATATGTACATAACTTAATTAACTACAATACTAGCTCCCGCATACTTGACGCAGTTCATTGCGTGCATATTGTTAAAGAGAACTCTAGTGAAAACAAGCTGATTTGCCTGAGCGTACCTTTAGTAGCAGAAAATGTCGCAGTATTCATTCTTTGTACTGGTGGTCTCACTCACTCTTGACCTGGTGGTATGTGATCGGCCTATATACAACATAGCCCATATGGTTAACGCAGTCAAACAGATTGACCCGTGGTTAGGGTAAGGAACTAACGCAAACATGCAATGTTTACTTTCAGTATGCAGCGATAGATAAAAAATTAATTGTGATTAAAAATGTGATTACCATCTATTAGCCATGAATATGAGTAACATGAGCTGAAAAAGGAAGCGAAATAGAAAATGAGGTCGGATCTAGAAAGAGTATAGTATTAATTTCTTGCGCGTTGGCTTCGAATAATTATATAATAATATATGCGAAGCGCAGTGAACGGTGATAAAATTTCTTAAAACTATTGTATGTCAGCTTATATCACAAAACAATATCGAACCGCCTACTGTACAAAATGGAATGTTTCTAGAAGGCAAGATTGTGGTAGCTTCTTGTTAAAGAGAACTCTAGTGAAAACAAGCTGATTTGCCTGAGCGTACCTTTAGTGATAGAAAATGTCGCAGTATTCATTCTTTGTACTGGTGGTCTCACTTACTCTTGACCTGGTGGTATGTGATCGGCCTACATACAACATAGCCCATATGGTTAACGCAGCCACACAGATTTAACCGTGGTTAGGGTAAGGAATTAACGCACAGCATGCAATGTTTACTTTCAGTATGCAGCGATAGATAAAAAATTAATTGTGATTTAAAATGTGTTGACCATCTACTAGCCATGCATATGAGTAACATGAGCAGGAAAACGAAGCGAAATACAAAACGTGGTCGGATCTAGAAAGAGTATAGTATGAATATCTTGTTCGTTGGCTTCGAATTTATGATTATATATATGCGAAGCGCAGTGAACGGTGATATAATTTCTTAAAACTATTGTATGTCAGCTTATATCACAAAACAATATCGAACCGCCTACAATACAAAATGGAATGTTTCTAGAAGGGAAGATTGTGTTAGCTTGTGGTATGATTTTGATTTGAAAAAAAAGTTCCAGTCATCTCGAAAGCTATATATTTTTACCCTCAAAAAGGCTCAATTTTAAATTTTGTAAGATATACAAAAATTAGACAAAAAAATTATTAGGGACTACGAAAATTCCCCATTCTCACAGAAACGATACCTAAATGTAATCGAATGAAGCTATATATTCTTTAAAGAGATTCGTTATTTAAGCACTTATCTGAAACGGCTAAACTCAAATAGGTTTCTCCGAAAGTAAACTTCATTTAAAATATTTCAAAAATTTAAAAATGAACGATGCATCAGAACGACGACGCATGAATGCATTATAAATTTGGAAAAAGAGCATTGCCAAGTGTTTTTATTATTCGTCTAATTAAATTACCACTTATATACTGCGAACGAAGGAAACGTTATGTTTTGTGGACTCGAGACCTGTCGATATTTAACGAGGCAAAGCCGAGTGAAATATCTATGGTCGAGGATCCACAAAACATGTTTTCTGAGTTCTCAATAAATAGGTTTTTTATTACATACATCTTAGAAAAAGAAAAACCAAACTACGAGGTAAACAACGAAATGCCTATTCATAAAAGACATAATTTCAAATGGATAAAAGTTGTTATTTCCATGAGATAACACATTATCTCACTCTGCAGGGGGTCGCGCTGGCGACATCAAAATTTCTTTACTCTCGCGTGATTCGCTCTCGACCAATGAAACGCTACGAACACCAAACTTTGACAAGTGGTATATAATAATAATATATATGTACATAACTTAATTAACTACAATACTAGCTCCCGCATACTTGACGCAGTTCATTGCGTGCATATTGTTAAAGAGAACTCTAGTGAAAACAAGCTGATTTGCCTGAGCGTACCTTTAGTAGCAGAAAATGTCGCAGTATTCATTCTTTGTACTGGTGGTCTCACTCACTCTTGACCTGGTGGTATGTGATCGGCCTATATACAACATAGCCCATATGGTTAACGCAGTCAAACAGATTGACCCGTGGTTAGGGTAAGGAACTAACGCAAACATGCAATGTTTACTTTCAGTATGCAGCGATAGATAAAAAATTAATTGTGATTAAAAATGTGATTACCATCTATTAGCCATGAATATGAGTAACATGAGCTGAAAAAGGAAGCGAAATAGAAAATGAGGTCGGATCTAGAAAGAGTATAGTATTAATTTCTTGCGCGTTGGCTTCGAATAATTATATAATAATATATGCGAAGCGCAGTGAACGGTGATAAAATTTCTTAAAACTATTGTATGTCAGCTTATATCACAAAACAATATCGAACCGCCTACTGTACAAAATGGAATGTTTCTAGAAGGCAAGATTGTGGTAGCTTCTTGTTAAAGAGAACTCTAGTGAAAACAAGCTGATTTGCCTGAGCGTACCTTTAGTGATAGAAAATGTCGCAGTATTCATTCTTTGTACTGGTGGTCTCACTTACTCTTGACCTGGTGGTATGTGATCGGCCTACATACAACATAGCCCATATGGTTAACGCAGCCACACAGATTAAACCGTGGTTAGGGTAAGGAATTAACGCACAGCATGCAATGCAATGTTTACTTTCAGTATGCAAGCGATAGATAAAAAATTAATTGTGATTTAAAATGTGTTGACCATCTACATATATGAGTAACATGAGCAGGAAAACGAAGCGAAATACAAAACGTGGTCGGATCTAGAAAGAGTATAGTATGAATATCTTGTTCGTTGGCTTCGAATTTATTATATATATGCGAAGCGCAGTGAACGGTGATATAATTTCTTAAAACTATTGTATGTCAGCTTATATCACAAAACAATATCGAACCGCCTACAATACAAAATGGAATGTTTCTAGAAGGCAAGATTGTGTTAGCTTGTGGTAGGATTTTGATTTGAAAAAAAAGTTCCAGTCATCTCGAAAGCTATATATTTTTACCCTCAAAAAGGCTCAATTTTAAATTTTGTAAGATATACAAAAATTAGACAAAAAAATTATTAGGGACTACGAAAATTCCCCATTCTCACAGAAACGATACCTAAATGTAATCGAATGAAGCTATATTTCTTTAAAGAGATTCGTTATTTAAGCACTTATCTGAAACGGCTAAACTCAAATAGGTTTCTCCGAAAGTAAACTTCATTTAAAATATTTCAAAAATTTAAAAATGAACGATGCATCAGAACGACGACGCATGAATGCATTATAAATTTGGAAAAAGAGCATTGCTAAGTGTTTTTATTATTCGTCTAATTAAATTACCACTTATATACTGCGAACGAAGGAAACGTTATGTTTTGTGGACTCGAGACCTGTCGATATTTAACGAGGCAAAGCCGAGTGAAATATCTATGGTCGAGGATCCACAAAACATGTTTTCTGAGTTCTCAATAAATAGGTTTTTTATTACATACATCTTAGAAAAAGAAAAACCAAACTACGAGGTAAACAACGAAATGCCTATTCATAAAAGACATAATTTCAAATGGATAAAAGTTGTTATTTCCATGAGATAACACATTATCTCACTCTGCAGGGGGTCGCGCTGGCGACATCAAAATTTCTTTACTCTCGCGTGATTCGCTCTCGACCAATGAAACGCTACGAACACCAAACTTTGACAAGTGGTATATAATAATAATATATATGTACATAACTTAACTACAATATACAAGCTCCCGCATACTTGACGCAGTTCATTGCGTGCATATTGTTAAAGAGAACTCTAGTGAAAACAAGCTGATTTGCCTGAGCGTACCTTTAGTGACAGAAAATGTCGCAGTATTCATTCTTTGTACTGGTGGTCTCACTTACTCTTGACCTGGTGGTGTGTGATCGGCCTATATACAACATAGCCCATATGGTTAACGCAGTCAAACAGATTGACCCGTGGTTAGGGTAAGGAACTAACGCACAGCATGTAATGTTTACTTTCAGTATGCAGCGATAGATAAAAAATTAATTGTGATTTAAAATGTGTTGACCATCTACTAGCCATGCATATGAGTAACATGAGCAGGAAAACGAAGCGAAATACAAAATGAGGTCGGATCTAGAAACAGTATTGTATGAATATCTTGCCCGTTGGCTTCGAATATATAATTATAAATGCGAAGCGCAGTGAACGGTGATATAATTTCTTAAAACTATTGTATGTCAGCTTATATCACAACACAATATCGAACCGCCTACTGTACAAAATGGAATGTTTCTAGAAGGCAAAATTGTGTTAGCTTATCGTTAAAGAGAACTCTAGTGAAAACAAGGTGATTTGCCTGAGCGTACCTTTAGTGACAGAAAATGTCGCAGTATTAATTATTTGTACTGGTGGTCTCATTTACTCTTGACCTGGTGGTGTGTGATCGGCCTATATACAACATAGCCCATATCCTTAACGCAGTCAAACAGATTGAACCGTGGTTAGTGTAAGGAACTAACGCACAGCATGCAATGTTTACTTTCAGTATGCAGCGATAGATAAAAAATTAATTGTGATTTAAAATGTGTTGACCATCTACTAGCCATGCATATGAGTAATATGAGCAGGAAAACGAAGCGAAATACAAAATGAGGTAGGATCTAGAAAGAGTATAGTATGAATATCTTGCCCGTTGACTTCGAATTTATAATTATATATATGCGAAGCGCAGTGAACGGTGATATAATTTCTTAAAACTATTGTAAATCAGCTTATATCACAAAACAATATCGAACCGCCTACAATACAAAATGGAATGTTTCTAGAAGGCAAGATTGTGTTAGCTTGTGGTATGATTTTGATTAAAAAAAAAATTCCAGTCATCTCGAAAGCTATATATTTTTTTCTTTAAAAAAGCTCAATTTTAAATTTTGTAAGATAAACAAAAGTTAGACAAAAAAATTATTAGGGACTACGAAAATGCCCCATTCTCACAGAAACGATACCTAATTGTAATCGAATGAAGCTATATATTCTTTAAAGAGATTCGTTATTTAAGCACTTATCTGAAAACCGTTAAACTCAAATAGGTTTCTCCGAATGTAAACTTCATTAAAATATTCCAAAGATTTAAAAAATGAAGGATGCATCAGAATGACGACGCATGCGTCCATGCATTATAACTTTGGAAAGAGAGCATTGCTAAGTATTTTTATTATTTTTTTAATTAAATTACCACTTATTTACTGCGAACGAAGGAAACGTTATGTTTTGTGGACCCGAGACCTGTCGATATTTTACGAGGCAAAGCCGAGTGAAATATCGATGGTCGAGGATCCACAAAACATGTTTTCTGAGTTCTCAATAAATAGGTTTTTTATTATATACCACTGAGTCAAAGAAAAACCAAACTACAAGGTAAACAACGAAATGTCTATTCATAAAAGACATAATTTTAAATGGATAAAAGTTGTTATTTCCATGAGATAACACGTTATCTCACTCTGCAGGGGGTCGCGCTGGCGACATCAAAATTTCTTTACTCTCGCCTGATTCGCTCTCGACCAATGAAACGCTACGAACACCAAACTTTTACAAGTGGTATATAATAATAATATATATATGTACATATTTTAATTCACTACAATACTAGCTCCCGCATACTTGACGCAGATCATTGCGTGCATATTGTTAAAGAGAACTCTAGTGAAAACAAGCTGATTTGCCTGAGCGTACCTTTAGTAGCAGAAAATGTCGCAGTATTCATTCTTTGTACTGGTGGTCTCACTTACTCTTGACCTGGTGGTATGTGATCGGCCTATATACAACATAGCCCATATGGTTAACGCAGTCAAACAGATTGACCCGTGTAGGTAAGGAACTAACGCAAACATGCAATGTTTACTTTCATTATGCAGCGATAGATAAAAAATTAATTGTGATTAAAAATGTGATTACCATCTATTAGCCATGAATATGAGTAACATGAGCTGAAAAAGGAAGCGAAATAGAAAATGAGGTCGGATCTAAAAAGAGTATAGTATAAATTTCTTGCGCGTTGGCTTCGAATAATTATATAATTATATATGGCAAAGCGCAGTGAACGGTGATAAAATTTCTTAAAACTATTGTTTGTCAGCTTATATCACAAAACAATATCAACCGCATACTGTACAAAATGGAATGTTTCTAGAAGGCAAGATTGTGTTAGCTTATTGTTAAAGAGAACTCTAGTGAAAACAAGCTGATTTGCCTGAGCGTACCTTTTGTGACAGAAAAATGTCGCAGTATTCATTCTTTGTACTGGTGGTTCACTTACTCTTGTCCTGGTGGTATGTGATCGGCCTTATACACATAACCCATATGGTTAACGCAGTCACACAGATTGACCCGTGGTTAGGGTAGGAACTAACGCACAGCATGCAATGTTTACTTTCAGTTGCAGCGATAAATAAAAATTAATTGTAATTAAAAATGTGTTGACCATCTACTAGCCATGCATATGAGTAACATGAGCAGGAAAACGAGGAAATACAAATGGTCGGATCTAGAAAGAGTATAGTATGAATATCTTGCCCGTTGGCTTCGAATTTTAATTATATATATGCGAAGCGCAGTGAACGGTGATATAATTTCTTAAAACTATTGTATGTCAGCTTATATCACAAAACAATATCGAACCGCCTACAGTACAAAATGGAATGTTTCTAGAGGCAAATTGTGTTAGCTTGTGGTATGATTTTGATTTGAAAAAAAGTTCAAGTCATCTCGAAAGCTATATTTTTTCCCTTAAAAAGGCTCATTTTAAATTTTGTAAGATAAACAAAATTAGACAAAAAAATATTAGGGACTACGAAAATTCCCAATCTCACAGAACGATACTAATTGTAATCGAATGAAGCTATATATTCTTTAAATAGATTCATTATTTAAGCACTTATCTAAAAACGGTTAAACTCAAATCTCCGAATGTAAACTTCCATTAAAATATTCCAAAGATTTAAAAATTGAAGGATGCATGAGAAAATGACAACGCATGCATGCACTATAAATTTGGAAAGAGAGTATTGCTAAGTATTTTTGTTATTCGCCTAATTTAATAACCTTTAATTGCATTATGACGCACTTTCTGACACCATGCATGTACCCTAGGTACGGAGCAAACGCGCTCGAAGCTGATGTGGCCTTCTCTGAATATGGTACACCTGAGTACACTTACCATGGAATACCTTGCGATGCGGGGCGAGATTGTTTACGCTGGGCTTACATTGGAAATTTCATCACGGCCCTTAGAGCCAGAACAAGGCCTTATGGTCCGAGATTCAACCGCAATCTTGTCTTGGTTATGTTCGATTGTAAGGTACGCTTAGAAACTATATATAGAATTGATGACACTTTGCAACTGTTTATTGTACGTTTTAATAAGTTTGCAATGAGATACTTCAGCAGACAGTTCTTCCTGACCGATTTGGGAAAGTTTCTACTCATGACAAATAAAATCTTCGGGCATAAAAAAAGGGTATGCCAATAACAAGGCAAGGTGCATTTTTCTTCACTTTTACAATTGTTAAACGTATAAATAATAATGATTTTAGAACTTTACTCGATGCAGGAATATTCTAGTGGTTTAAAGGGCCTTAATTTCGAGTGGTATTATAGTATTACACTTCAAATTCGGGCCCGGAACAGTTGATGGAAAAATGAGTCAACTATAGGTCCTCCGGCAGGAATCGAACCTACGCTTTTGCGATGCTGGTGCAATGCTCTTGCCACTGAGCTACAGAGGTAGCTGACAAGAGCAAGCATGGTTACTGTGTATACATAAATGGTAATGCCGGGAATAGGGGAGGGTAAATCAATAATGATTTTTGGCACTTCACTCGATGCAGGAAGATTCTAGTGGTTTAAAGGGTCTTAATATGTATAATACCACTCGAAATTAAGACTCTTTAAACCACTAGAATATTCCTGCATCGAGTAAAGTGCCAAAAATCATTATTGATTTACCCTCCCCTATTCCCGGCATTACCATTTATCTATACACATTAACCACTATATACACATTAATCTTGTCAGCTACCTCTGTAGCTCAGTGACAAGAGGATTGCACCAGCATCGCAAAAGCGTAAGTTCGATTCCTGTCGGAGGACCTATTGTTGACTCATATTTCCATCATCTGTTCCTGGCTTGAATTTGAAGTGTGTATAATACCACTCGAAATTAAGACCCTTTAAACCACTAGTATAAATAATAGGAAAGCATTGCGTGTATTTAACTTCTTTTTTATATTATAGTTATTTTTTTATGAATAATTCAAAACAGCTTATGTTATCCTTGCCTTATCATATAAAAGTTAGCATGCAGATTATTAGTTTCACTTCCTTAGAAGTTGTTATGAATCAATCCGAAGCGCTTGTTTCGAAACATTCCCGGAGCATAACGTATTTTATCAAAACAAATAAAGATTTTATGATTGTTTTGCAGCTAAACGATTTAGCCCAAAACATGTTACCAATTGCCGGGTGGAAATTTGCAAATATTATTCTCAAGCGATTGTATCGAAACAATCGAACCAAGATGAAAGTGATTGTCAGCGTGCAAAACTTATCGCAAAAAGAATTTATCCGCTCTGTGATAACGAGCCTTCAGAACAACCCGGAGATTCTCGCGAACGTTGGCTGGGAAATTAGCTGGGATAACGAGAAAGAACCGCAGGAGCTAGAACAAGGACTAAAAGAAGTTGGAGTTCAACCTGGTCATGCCTGGCTCAGTAGTGGAATCACTAACTTTGTCAGTCAATTGCATACATAATTATATGCGTAATAACTAGGCAAATCCGTGCGGAGAATACAAAGTAGTTACTATATTTGAAAGGCGCATGCATATATATAGCCTAAAATAAACCTGTATACTTCTGCCCTTATAATTGTATCTATATTCACGATGTAGCTTTGGCCTCAGCTTAGAATATGCATGCATGTGTATTAAGGTTCGGGAAATACAAATAACCTTTATAAGGTCGATTTGTACTCTGTAAAGGTCGATTTGCACTGTCAAAGCTGGCAACAAAGGTCACATGCTACTTTTTCAGTCAAATAGTTAGTCAAATAATTAATTGTTCACAGAAGCTTTAATAGTGCAAACCAGGCATTGTGACCAAATATCTTTTTTTATTTTCCTAAATAGGCTGCAGGTTTGAAATTGGACGAACTTAAAAAAGAAGTTGAATACAGAGATAGCGGGAATTTCTTCAGCAAGGTGTACGCATGGACCTTGGACAAGCAGTCGACGGCAATGAAGTATCTTGAAATCCATTTGGATGGTGTTATCGCAAACTACCCAAGTCGAGTGAACAAAGCGATTGAGCAATATAACAAGGAGAGAGGCTACATATACGGAGTAGATAAAGTCAGACTCGCGACTTTGAACGACAATCCATTTCAACGTTTTTAATTAACCGATCTTTATAGCAAGCTTAAGCAAACCGCCGTTATTTGACGTCATGCATGAACGTCACGACGGTAACTTTAGAAAACCTGTAGTGATATAACTTGTTTGTAGTATTGCAGTCTGCAACGAAATAAATTTGAGCTAGCTTACACATGCGGTAATATGATGAATGGTTGATAGTTTGTTGTCTCTCTGCATGTTTTTTTCTGCATGTTTCTAATTGCATGGTTCCATAAATTAAGATAATGTTACACGAAAGAACTAGCTAGCTATATACCAACATTAACTCGCAACGCAACAATAAGCAAAAATCTAAACAATAAAAACAGTTCATACACTTTCAATTTGTTTCCAAAACAATTCCTGTGTTACAAACTAGCTCATATATATATATCATATTTGAGGCGTAAACCTTTTTCAAAACATTGTTACGTTGCAAATTGCTGTTGAAAGCTGTTTCGTGTAAAATTACCTTTATTATGAGACCATGCAATTAGAAGCATGCAGAAAAATTTTCAAGTTATCGTATATATATTTAATTTGCATGTATATATGATCACATCAGGGCATACAAACCAAACATATATAATGATTAGTACTGAATTGTTGGTATCCCCGAGGTTAGTTTTTAGCGAGAGAAGAAAAAAAATCCCGGAGAAAAGTAGGGGTCTGAGAATTTAACTTATAGGCGTTTTTCTTCTACTTCTCCGTAACCGTTGCTGAAGACAGAAAATTCGAATTTTATATTTTTATTAGAAAATGCAAATAAACCTGTTTTTATCGCTTCCGTTTCAACTACATGCCCTATAGGAGGTGCCGGCGGCTTCCGAGACTTGTGAGCTCTGTTTTCCGAAATAAACTGAAAAATAAATGAAACTTTTTGGGCAAAATAATGGCAATGTGCTAGAGCACATGATTTAATTAAACCAAAAGTAACCAATTATAGCTAATTGTTACAACGTTCGTATTACAGCAGAGCACAGAGAAGGTGGGGTGATAAAAAACGCCACAAGCCTGCTGAGCTAAGGAGGCCGTCCCGTGAATGAGTATATACACTTACTGTGAAGTTCAAAAGTATTGTTTGTCACAAATGAGACATCAGGCCTATAATCTTTCTCATTTCAAACTTATACCCTTGACAAACGGGAATCAAAGATGATGTTTTCTGCTCCAAACGAACTGGGTAACGTCCCAAAAGTTGCTCCTCCAATTTTAAAATTCGAATTAAATGAAAATCACGAAAAAAGGTTTTCCTAATATTCCACCCGTCATATGGCGTGAAGCCTAAAATGTTGCTTAGGTTGTTATGAGAAAAAGATATCCGCAGAAAGCACTTTACATCATCTTTAAGAAATTTACTAAATATAAGAAGACACTGCTTTAAACAAAAGTGATCAAATATTCTGGATAATACTGATTGTCATAAAACAAAACGAAGATTGTTGGATTTGCTACGTTGTTGACGACAGAATCGTAAGAATCATTGCCTCCTTTCCGTGGTGGTACCACCATACTTTGGTTACCCACGGCGTACTGGCCAACTGCTACTCGTGTGTAGTACATGTATCTTTGTCCCGTCGAAGCCAATGTTTGAGCATAACTGACAGACATCAAAGCGTCTCTTGCGAAGTAAACACCTCTACCATAAACTGCCCCTAAAGTGCAAGTATCAGAATTTTATAAGCACATTGTTGTGACGTAATTAACAGGGTGTACCGATTATTTTGTTGAGACAAGGGCTGACTCAGTTATGCATCTTTCGATTCTTTTCACTATAAAAATCCAATAAAGAACCTTCACCCATCCCAAACTCCTTGCCGCAATCAGGACCCCTGCTTCGAAATCTTAATTTTAAACAATTAAATGAATAAATAAATTTATAATATAACATTTATAGTACGCGCTTGCTGATTGGTCGAGAAGCGTGTTTCCATAACTGTATAGAAACACGGGAATTTTTCCGCCGAACTTGGCAAGCGAAGCGATGTAATGAGAATTTGTAATTGAATCGAATTATAATATTTGTACAAAATCTTTTTATAGAGTTATATTATAAAAGAAATAGAAAACGTTTTTCCTGTGTTTCTATACAGTTATAGAAACACTTGTGGGAGTTTGGGAGAACTCGAAATAACGTGAAAAAACTCGCCCTACGGGCTCGTTTTCCCACTGATTATTTCTCGTTCTCCCAAACTCCCACGCGTGTTTCTATAGCTGTATAGAAACACGGAAAATGTTTTCTATTTCTTAAATAGATAACCGTCCTACACATCCCTTACCATAAGCATTTCCAGCGTAACTCCTATTAGGACCTGTCTTGTTAATTTCGCTTACTTTGTCACCTCTCGTTCCATGGAACAAGAATTTCTTATTACTGCCAATTTTCTCATCCAAACTTTGTTTTTTCATGAGGTAGTGCTTGAACAACGATGGGTTCTGAACTCGCTGGATATGTTGAATTCGTTGATTTCCTGCTGTTTGATAAAAATGATCGGAGATATTTTTGTGCTTCTTTTGTTGGCTTGGATTGTTAGGATTAAGAGTTACAAGATGTACGGCCACTTCTTTACCACTCTTATCTCGTGGCTGAGGATACCAGTAGTCCGGAACAGGCACAGATTCTGCAGTTGCAATAACATAATTATATAAGAGACACTTATTAAGAAACAAGCGAAAAGTGTAGCTGTACGCTGCAAGCCTGCGAAACCTCTCCCGTTAAAAAGGTCGCTCATAAAACACAAAAATTGGTCTTTTCAGTTTATTAGGTTTATGATCACAAAAATGCCTGTGGTATAATGTGTATAATCACAAAAAACGTTGGGTTGTAGGTGAGGCCTTGAGTGTCATAATTTTTTATCATTATTAAAGTAAGAATGAATTACTATACAGCTGTAAAAGTGCTACTGTCTAGCTCTAAACGTGCAATCTCTATAGTAGTATAAAATACATACCACTTATTAACCGAATTTGAGGTCCGCGTACTAGAAACAGACCGAGGTCTTGACAGTACGGACCGAGCGATAGCGAGGACCGAGGTCTGATATTTTTCTAGTATGGACCGAACGTATTCGGTTAATAAGGGATTTATTATGTGGCATACAGTATTTAGTTTATTTACAGTACTGCTCAGAAATAGCCTAATCAAAAACGCGTTCCGAACGCGTTCCAGAACACGTTCTAAACGCGTTCCAGAACGCGTTTCAATCGCGTTCCTTATATATATATATATATTGATTACTCTAGATGTCAAATAATAAAAATCTGGAAACACAAGTGAAAAGCACCTTTATTAAAGTATATAGAATACCCACAACTATAACTTTGTCAATTAATTCAGCAATTTTTTGAAAGTACTTACAAAACTTCATAATAAGACGTTGTGGCCAAGTGGCGTTTAATACATAGAATTTCCGTTTACATGATCATCATAAACAAAAAATATTAAGACTGATTTGCATACAGCAATGCAAGCAAAGCTAATGTAATGACAAGACTATCTCACTTGGATAATTTAAAACTGGAAGTTGGGTCGATTGTTAATCAAATAAGTAACAAATTAAGTCTCTGATCCTTCTGATATATTTCTAGACTTTCTTAAGCTAGTATCTGATGTCCACTCTTAAAGAGGTGCAATCTTACTCATTTAAAGGCAATTATCACAGAGCTAAGATTAGAAAAAACTATGGTAAATATACATTTAGGTTCTTTTTTTTCTCATTTCAGTCAGTGGGAAAGCATACCATCTGACCTTAAATTACTACCCCCTAATAGTTTTAAACAGAACTATATATAAACGCTATTTTCTCGTCAATCAGAAATGATATGTCTTCATTTAATTACTTGCACAACAGAATACAACTATTACGCATATAAATGTACAATAACAGAGAACATAAGTGTGACAGAGGAAAGGAAAAGGTCTCTAATCTTAGATCTGCAATAATTACCTTTAGATGCATATATCTGGTGTAATAAGAGTGGAAATCAGATACTGCATGGCTTCTTCTTTTAATATTTATTGAGTACATTACATATATAATTAATATTATGTATAACGAGTAAGTTTCTGACTCAAAAGGAGTATGCACAAACGGGACGCGAAGTCCCATGCAAGGTGTAACCCCTGTACGTACGAAATACGTAAGAAAGTTTAGAAATATATCAGAAATACGTAATAAAGTTTAGAAATATATCAGGATCAGAGACTTAATTTGTTACTTATTCGATTAACAAACGATCCAACTTGCAGTTTTAAAAAATTATCCAAGTGAGATAGTCTTGTCATTACTTTCGCTTTGCTTAGCTGTATGAAATTCAATCTTAATTTCCGTTATGATGATCATGTAAACGGAAATACCATAAATTAAACGCCACTTGGCCACAACGTCTAATTATTAAGTTTGGTAAGTACTTCTAAAACATTGCTGAATTAATTGACAAAGTTATAGTTATGCATGGGTATTCTATATACTTTAATAAAGACTGCTTTCTACTTGTGCTTCTAGATTTTTATTATTTGACATCTAGATCAAAAAATGCATCCTAAAACGGGCGGAAAACTTGTTTCTTTCCATTTGCTCTTTTAGTTTTTTCGAAGATAAGATATGTGTGGATTTAGACTTGTACGTGCATGTACCTACAGCTACGCACAAAGAACGCTTATTAAAGGCGTAGTTTCAATTTGTCGTAATTGTCGTAAGGAATGTGATGCAAGTGTAACCGATGTAAACTCAATTCAATTCAATTTTATTGATCACTATTTCGAGAAAATTTTACAAGATAAGTGGAAATATATTAAAAAATACAAATATTTAAGATTATCAGGTTGGACTAAGAGCTTTTGAGCTGGTTGTCATAAAATGTTTAACTATAATATAAGTATAGATTTAGCTAAAACAAATCAATTTCTGTGTTTAGAAATTTGTAAGAATAAACTTTTCCTTCACTATTAGCATATCATTCTGGTTTAAGACTTTCAAATCGTTTATTTTATAACTTCTATAATCCCTAATTTCTGCAGTATTATCGTCACGAAATCATATGAAAGTTATCATTGCGCTTCGTGGGCAACAAGTGGCAAAAACTAGTTGGGGTCAGGTTGTTTTTTTCTCAGTTATGGGAAAGCATACCATCTGAATTTCAATCACTACCCCCTAATAGTTTTAAATAGAACTATAAACGCGCTTGTAAAATTTTCACGAACTAGTGATGAATAAAATTGATTGAATTGAATCGACATTGGTTATATATACATCACATTGCTTACGACAAGTCTAAACCCACAGATATATATATATATATATATATAAATATATATATATATATATATATATATATATGTATATATATATATATATATATATGTTATCTTCAAAAAAACTAGGAGTAAATGGAAAGAAAGAAGTTTTCCGCCCGTTCTAGTATCCATTTATTAAACTAGAGTTTTAGTATCCATTCATTGATCTAGATGTCAAATAATAAAAATCTAGAGGAAGTGGAAAGCAGCCCCTATGAAATTATATAAAATACCCACAACTATAACTTTGTCAATTAATTTAGGAATTTTTTAGAAGTGCTTACAAAACTTCATAATTAGACGTTGTGGCCAAGTGGCGTTTAGCGTATGGAATTTCCGTTTAGATGATCATAGAATACCCACAACTATAACTTTGACAAGTACTTACAACAGTATTGTCATTACTTCAGCTTTGTTTGGCTGTATGTAAATCAATTATGATTTTTGGAACTTCACTCGATGCAGGTGAATTCTAGAGGTTTGAGGGTCTTAATTTCGAGTGGAATTATACACACTTCAAATTCAAGCCAGGAACAGTCGATGGCAAAATTAGTCAACCATAAGTCCTCCGGCAGGAATCGGACCTACGCTTTTGCGCTTCCGGTGCAAGCTAGAGCATCAACTGTTTCTGGCTTGAATTTGAAGTGTGTATAATTCCACTGGAATGAAGACCCTTAAACCTCTTGTATGTAAACCAGATTCAATTTCCATTTGCGATCATCATGTAAACGGAAATTCCATATATTGAGGGCCACTTGGTCACAGCGTCTTATTATGAAGTTTTGTAAACAATGTGATGTAACCGATGTGTGATACTCTTGTTATAATACTCTAGCTTTGTTTTGGTGTATGCAAAACAGTCTGTTGCCAAGTACGGCAACATTCCATTACAACAATTACGACCAAATGGAAAATAGGCATTACGCGTGTAAGTGTCTAAATCCATATAAATGATATGTTTGAAAAATTAAGCTGAATAAATAGAAAGAAATAAGTTTACATTTTATGATGCATTTTATTGGCGCGGATGTTAAATAGTAAAAAGTCGGGCCCTATATGAAACTTTCTGGGCCTGTACGTGCATATGAAAGACGTGGAAGAGACTGAAGAGGAAAGCAGGCATTGATTATTCATTGAGAGTCTATGATCATGATATGAAGACAATTTCCATAATATCATCTTAATGTTTTTCCCGTCCCTAATGCGCGCGCAGTTCAAGCGATCACACGTAAAACGGAAATGTCATATATTTATTTGACTGATATTAGGTTACATAAACGAGAAAGGCAGACTGAGAGATAGCTATATAAGACATGCGACTGATAACACAAGCTCCAAATTCAGTTAAAGAAGACTATAGTGAAAACAAGCTAATTTGCCTGAGCGTACCTTTAGTAGCAGAAAATGTCACAGTATTCATTCTTTGTACTGGTGGTCTCACTTACTCTTGACGTGGTGGTATGTGATCGGCCTATATACAACATAGCCCATATGGTTAACGCAGTCACACAGATTGACCCGTGGTTAGGGTAAGGAACTAACGCACAGCATGCAATGTTTACTTTCAGTATATATGCAGTGATAGATACAAAATTTGCAAATGAGTACATGAGCAGGAAAACGAAGGGAAACACAAAATGTAGTCGGATCTAGGAAGAGTGTAGTATGAATACCTTGCCCGTTGGCTTCGAATAGTTATATATGCAACCGAGTTGTCTACCGGCTTGAATTTGAAGCGCAGTGAGCGGTGATGAAATTTCTTAAAACTATTATAACTCAGCTTAGATCACAAAACAATATCGAATCGCCTACAGTACAAAATGGAATGTTTGTAGAAGCCAAGATTGTGCTAGCTTGTGGTATGATTTTGATTTGAAAGAAAAGTTCAAGTCATCTCGAAAACTATAAATTTTTACCCTCAAAAAGACTCAAATTTAAATTTTGTAAGATAAAGAAAAATTAGACAAAAAATTTATTAGGGACTGCGAAGATTCCACATTCTCACAGAAACGATACCTAATTGTAATCGAATGAAGCTATATATTCTTCAAAGAGATTCGTTATTTCAGCACTAGCTTGTCTGAAACGGCTAAACTCACATAGATTTCTTCCAATGTAAACTTCATTTTAAATATTCCAAAAATTTAAAAAAATGAAGGATGCATGAGAATGACCACGCATGTATGCACTAACTAACTAACTTTGAAAAGAGTATTGCTAAGTATTTGTATTATTCGTCTATTATTTAGTAACCTTTCATTATTACGCATTTTCTGACACCATTTAGGTACGGGGCAAACGCCCTCGAAGCTGATGTGACCTTCTTTGAAGATGGTAGACCTGAGTACACTTACCATGGAACACCTTGCGATGCCGGGCGATATTGTGAACGCTGGGCTTACGTTGAAAACTTCATCAATGCCCTTAGAGACAGAACAGTGCCTTCTAGTTCGAGATTCAACTCCAATCTTGTCTTGGTTATGTTCGATTGTAAGGTACGCTTAGAAACTATAGAATTGATTACACTTTCCAATTGTTAATTCTACGTTTTAATAAGTTAACAATGAGATGCCATACTTCAGTAGACAGTTTTTCCCGAACGATTTGGGAAAGTTTCTCCTCTTGAAAAATAAAATCATCGGACATAAGAAAGATTAACCGATGCCCAGAGACGTGCCTGGCGGGAAGCGTATTCGAAATATAAATATTATATAATTATACGGTTGAATAAATGTACGCGAAGATCTGGTCCGAAAATTTCTCGATAATACGTTCGATCCAAAACCGCCTATCCTATAACAGCACCTATGTTGGATTTGTTTTTCGTTCCACTAGAAGGTTTTCTTCACTCTTTCCTTTCAAAGATAAAGTCCCTAAGTACCTGAGATCTGGTGTAGTTTATTTATTTAAGTGTTGATGCTGTCCGCGTCGTACGTGCATGGGTCAAACCACGCGTCATCTACATACCAGAATATCAGAGCACTTGGGAATATCATCTATCAGCTTTGAAGAATTTAGAATCCTAGCTTTATCATATAAAAGTTATCATGCAGATTAGTTAGTTTCATTTCTTTAGAAGTTGTTATGAATCAATCCGAAGCACTTGTTTCGGGACATCCGTGGAGCATAACTTATTTTATCAAAGCAAATAAAGATTTTATGATTGTTTTGCAGCTAACACGTTTAGCCGAAAACAAGTTAGCAAATGCCGGGACGAGATTTGCCGAAATTATTCTCAAGCCACTGTATCTAAACAATCCAACCAAGATGAAAGTGATTGTCAGCGTGCCAAACTTATCGCTCAAAGAATTTATCCGCTCTGTGATAACGAGCCTTCAGAACAACCCGGAGATTCTGGCGAACGTTGGCTGGGAAATTAGCTGGGATAACCAGAAAGAACCGCAGGAGCTAGAACAAGGACTAAAAGAAGTTGGAGTTCAACCTGGTCATGCCTGGCTCAGTAGTGGAGTCACTAACTTTGTTAGTTAATTGCATACATATATGCGTAATAACTAGGCAAATCTGTGCGGAAATACAAAGTACTATATTTAAGGAACAGAATCTTTAATAGTGCAAACCAGGCCTTGTGATCAAATATTTTCTTTTATTTTCCTGAATAGGTTGCAGATTTGAAAATGGACGAACTTAAAAAAGAAGTTGAATACAGAGATAGCGGGAATTTCTTCAGCAAGGTGTACGCATGGACCTTAGACTACCAGTCGACGGCAGTGAAGTATCTTAAAATCCATTTGGATGGTGTTATCGCAAACTACCCAAGTCGAGTGAACAAAGCGATTGACCAATATAACAAGGAGAGAGGCGACGGAGAAGATAGAGTCAGGCTCGCAACTTTGAACGATAATCCATTTCGCCGTTTTTAACTAACCGATCTTTAGCAAGATTAAGCAAACGCCGCTATTCGATGCCATGGACAGTAACTTTAGAAAATCTGTAGTGTTATTTCTTGTTGTAGTATTGCTGTCTGCGGCGAAATAAATGTGAGCTTACACATGCAGTATAATTTGATGAATGCTTGACTAGTTGTTGTCTTTCTAAAACTTTTTTCAGCATATTTACGCAAAAATAAGCAAAAATCTAAACAATAATGTCATGTGGAATAAAACAGTTCATAAACTTTCAGCTTGTTTCCAAAACAATTCCTGTGTTACACTGAGCTAGCTCATATATATATAATATTTGACGCGTTAACCTTTTTCAAAACATTGTTGCGTTGCGAGTTGCTGTTGAAAGTTGTTTCGTGTAACATTACCTTTAATTAAACATGTATGTATGATCACATCAGCGCGTACAAACCAAACATATATAATGATTAGTAGCTACTGAATTGTTGGCATCCCTGGGGTTAGTTTTTAACGAGGGAGGAAAACTAAGGAACCCGGAGAAAAAACCTTGAAGCACGGGTCGGAGAGCTTTAAATTTGCCTATTTTGTCTGTTTTGTCTAAAATATAAAAGGGAATAAAAAGGGATAGATAAGGTGCCATGTGTGGCAAATGTTGCAAAAAAAAATTAAATGCAACAAAAAGTAGCCTACCGCAAACACTCTTTTCAAAGTTGATTTATACCAGGGCGGGTATATAAGCGCCCTGATTTACACTTATAAGAGCAATTTATAATTAAAAACGATTGTGAAATTTTTCTTTCTACACCTCCAGGGAATTCCAAAATACAATTATATCTGGTCGAGTAGGGACGGAAAAATACTTTTAAAATATTTCTTGCTCGAGAGAAGGTAACGTACAGCAATAATAATAATTAAATTGTTGTAAAGGAATATATAGCAAAAGATGTTCACAGTTGTTCAAACAGTTTCATGATTTTTTAGCTAAGCACATCAGCCATTATACTCATGCAATATACCAAGTACAATCCACGATTTCATGCTTGCTCGATAAACTACCTGTGGCTCAGGTTTCCAAAATTCACAGCTGCTTAGGCTTTGTTTCCAAGATAGATCAAGTTTAGATCCATGAATTTCATGGTCTAATAAACAGCAGAACTTTAAAGGGGTACAAACAGGAGCTGTTGAAGAGCTCTCTTTCTCCAAATTGCAAGACTTTAGCAAAAAGATAATAAACGTTTGAAAATAGCACATAACAAAACAGCTTTCGGCCTATAACAGTGGCAAGCTATATAGTTATATTCGTTATTCTTCATACATTTTAAATTATTTTCTCTTCTAAAAAGTAAAATCTAGAAAGTCTTGCACCCAAATTATCGTTTCAGTTTACCTGCGGTCTGCAAATCACTGTCCCTGAATGGCGTTTGTAAAGTTTCTTTTCGTCAGTTATAGACGTGCATATATGTAATGTTTAGCTGGCAAGGCCGTGACTACCAAGACAATATATGTGAATGAATATATGCAAGTGTTGTGAAGGTTAAATGTATCGTTTGCCACACAAATGAGATCAGGCCTATACTTTTTCTGATTTCCTTATACCTTTGACAAACGTGAATCAAAGATGATGTTTTCTGCTCAAAACGAACTGAGTAACGTCACAAAAGTTGCTCCTTCAACTTTAAAATTCGAATTAAATGAAAATCACAAAGAAATTTAAAGGTTTTCCTAATATTCCACCCGTCATATGGCGTGAAGCCTAAAATGTTGCTTAGGTTGTTTTTATGAGAAAAAGATATCCGCTGAAAGCACTTTACATCATCTTTAAAGATTCTGAATTAAGAAATTCACTAGAAAACACTGCTTTAAGTAAAGGTGATCAAATATTCTGGATAATACTGATTGTCATAAAACAAAACGAAGATTGTCGGATTTGCTACGTTGTTGACGACAGAATCGTAAGAGTCATTGCCTCCTTTCCGTGGCGGTACCACCATGCTTTGATTACCCATGGCGTACTGACCAACTGCTACTCGTGTATAGTACATATATCTTTGTCCCGTCGAAGCCAATGTTTGAGCATAACCGACAGACATCGAAGCGTCTCTTGCGAAGTAAACACCTCTACCATAAACTGCCCCTAAAGTGCAAGTATCAGAGTTTTATAAGCACATTGTTGTCATGTAATTAATTGGGCGGACCGATTACTTGGATGAAATAAGGGCTGACTCAGTTATGCATCTTTCGATTCTTTTCACTATAAAAATCCAATAAAGAACCTTCACCCATCCCAAACTCTTTGCTGCAATAGAAATATTTGCCTTCGGAGTTGTCGTTCTTTCGCTATGATAGCAGGTACTTATGTAATTTTTGCTTGGTTCACTACCGTGTCTTTTAACACGATTCAAAAATTATTTTAAACAAATTAAATAAATAAATAATATAGATAACCGTCCTACACATCCCTTACCATGAGTATTTCCAGCATAACTCCTATTAAGACCTGTCTTGTTAATTTCGCTTACTTTGTCACCTCTCGTTCCATGGAACAAGAATTTCTCATTACTTCCAATTTTCTCATCCAAACTCTGTTTTTTTATGAGGTACTGTTTGAACAATGATGGGTTCTGGACTCGCTGGATATGTTGAATTCGTTGATTTCCTGCTGTTTGATAAAAATGATCGGAGATATCTTTGTGCTCCTTTCGTTGGCTTGGATTGTTAGGATTAAGAGTGACAAGATGTACGGCCACTTCTTTACCACTCTTATCTCGTGGCTGAGGATCCCAGTAGTCCGGAACGGACACAGATTCTGCAGTTGCAATAACATGATTATATAAGAGACACTTATAAAGAAACAAGTGAAAAGTGTAGCTGTATGCTGCAAGCCTGCAAAACCTCTCCCGTTAAAAAGGTCGCTCATAAAACACAAAAATTGGTCTTTTCAGTTCAAAGATTATTAGGTTTATAATCACAAAAATGCCTGTAGTATAATGTGTATAATCACAAAAAACGTTGGGTTGAGGCCTAAAATGTTATCATTGTTTATCATTATCAAAGTAAGAATGAATTACTATACAGCTGTAAAAAAGTGCTTCTATCGATCAATAGCTCTAAAAGTGCTCCATACTAGTATAAAATACTGCAATATATTACACCTGCCGTCAACTAAAATTAAGTCATTCCTAACAACAGTTGGCAATCAATGTTTCAATCTAATAATATTGTTTTCGATCTCTCAAAATGACACCAAATTACATTGGCTGTATGCGGGAGCGAAAAAAACAGGGTTTAAATTGTAGTCACACTAAAATTGGTCACCGTTAACGACACTATATCCCCATCACTGTCTATAAGTTACACATTTTATATTTGCGCGCAGAAATAAATAGATTACTGTATATTAGAATTACCTTTAAGATCTTTCCTGGTAACATTTATCTTCTGCTTTGTGTCCAAATTTGTCTCCTCCATCGTATCAAATACAATCTCACATCTTTCATTTGAATAACTGAAGATTACAGATTTTTCTTTCTTGCTGTAGGCTTTTTCAATAATTGCGTTTGTATCCTTATCATAATCTTCCTGGTTGCCATTTCGTGGATCTTCGTAAAACCACTGCACACCTTGGGAAACTATCTCAGCCAAGTCAGCACGCAATAGAGCCCTCTCCTTTTCCAATTCAACTTCTCCGATTTTTTTCAAGATTTGAAGAATTTCTGCAAATGTTTTTGCATTATCTTCACTATGTCCAAAGACGACAATGCGGTCCAAGTCTTTTTCAATGGTAACTTCAACATCGTTCATTTTGCACAAGCGCTCTATCGCCATAAGTTGCTGCTTAGACAACTTTCCAATGTTGTCGTCCTCTAATTTATCTTTCTTCTTCTGAGACTCGATAACACTTAAAACTTTATCTTTCACCGTCTTAACGCTGGCTTTATCCTTTGCATAGATGACTAAGACGAGTTTTGTGGTGACTACGGGTGTATTTTTCTCTTTTATGTTCAAAGTCGGTGATTCCGTTTTCCAAAACAAATTTACGAACTTTTTAAACATCCCAGGTTCCTCTCCTTCATTGAGAGTACTTATTGACTCTTGAAATGCTCTTACCAGTTCGTCATCCTTCAGAACAATACGGACGTTGTTGATTGACCCAGAACTATATTGCAGAAACCGTACGATGGATGAATAAATTGATTTAGCAGCTTTTTCAGGGTTCCGTCTCAAGGAGCCAGTCCCAACAGCAGGAAATGAAATACTTTCACACTCTTCATCTGCAACTTCTTTCAAACAATTAGTTATGCACTTTTCAACTTCATTTGAACTTGGATCACTAGAAGCAACCATGTGGGCAATATATTTTGCACCCAATCGTCCTGCAGTTGTTAGAACGGTACTTGTTACGGAAAGTCTAGTTGAACTGACCTTTTCTTCGCATTCCCTCTCTATGTCTCCTCCTCCTGCCCTGCATAGAGCGTTTGCCACCCCACTATGCAAAACCAGTCCGGGGTTAGTTAAGTGGGCAATGACGTCAGTTGTTTCCTTCGTTATGTCACCTTTAACTATTTCTACTTTTTTACCATTGCCAACTTCAAAGCACAAAACACTCTCTTCTGATTCGTTTAAAGAGCTAGGTTTTTCTCTCCATCTATTTTGCGACTTACCAGGCGCACTGTCAACGGACACACCCCATTCTGGTTGCTTCTGTAATTCACTCTGAAACGCTTGGATCGAATTAGCGTCTTGACTGTAAACGACAAAACTAACTTCCTTTATGCTGCAGTTTGAAACTTTCAACACGAATCTCTTTGTTTCTTCAAAAAATAATTTAGCGGCGACATCATGTGGAAAACCTAATACTCCTGTTCCAATGGCAGGGAAAGCGATGGACTTCTTTGCACTGGAGTTACATTTTTTCAAACAATTTCTTATTATCGTCCTTAAAACCTATAGCGAGTACAAAGGACATATAAATGCATAAAGGACCAAATTGTTTTCCATACATGATCGAGTGATCCATGCGCGAAGGATGTCGCGAGATTTTCAGAAACTAGTAAAGTTATAAGCCGCAATTGTTTCATAAAATAATGCAGAACACAAGAATTAAAAATTATGAGAATCGCTGGGTATTTTGATAAAATATAAAACAATAGAAACTCCGTAAAAAGTAAATATTTTGTTCAAAAATGTAACTTTCTAAATACTAAAAGAAATAAAAATAAAGGAAACACAATTTAATATTCTACTGTTTTATAGAGTTCCTATTGTTTTATAAGAGTTGCAGGATTGCCCCACCTGCATAGCTATCGACCAATCCGATTGCGTGTTTCGCTGTAGTTAATTTTTAATGTTTTGTCTTAAAGTGGGTAGCATACCTGTTCTCCTTGTCCTCCGCTCCACTGGACACACACAACATGATACACCTCATCACAAAGCAAATTCCCTCCTGTTGTGACGGCCACCTGACCGACCTTTAAACTTCCAATCCTGCTACATTCGGCTTGCAGTGTTGGACCCGCCTGGTTGCTCAGAGCTCTACCACAAGGATTAGAATCAAGCCTAAGATTCTCTGCTGTTGTGTTCACCAGTACGTCGGCCTGTGCAAAAACGAAATGAATATAAATTGCATTAAAACACCATTGCGCTTAGTTTTACCATAAAACGTATGTAATTTTTCAAACAGACACAATAAACCTAAAAATACTGATTGGGCTGATCAGTCCTTTCTGCAAATATCTTCTACACCACACACGCAAAAACGCACAAGTTGTAACAAATCTGTAAACAAACAAGTTGCTGCAAGTTTGTTCACAAGCTTTCAACAAGATTTGTTCGCACTGCTTGCTCAAAATTGTTGTAACAAGTTTGGGACAAGCTGTTAACAACCTGTGGCAAGTCCAACGGCATGCATTATCAGTTACAAGATTGTTCTAACATGTCTGATACAGCTCTGATAAAGCCTTGCAAGTCTGATGATTCAACAAGTTTTTCTGCTATTTTTTGGGGAGTCGCCCTATACCTATCGACAGCTTCAAATGCAGTACAGTGAACAAAATCGACAGCTTGAAATGCATTATGCATATCAGTTAAAAGTTTGTTTCCAGACGTGTTACAAGATATTTTCACTCGTGTATTAACGCCATTATCATGACCTATTTTTGCCAAGAATACTTTTTTATGATATCTTTGTTCTGATTATAATAATGTTTCCATTACCTTGTATGTTGACAAGTCACCAACAACTACTGAAATTTTCATATTCTGTTTCGTAAAAATAAAATCATCGGTCTTTCGTCTACGTGAAACCTCTGGCTTTCTTGCGCTTTCATCGGTCGTGATCTGAAAACGAGGTTTTGTACGACGAAATCTGCCTTTGCTACTCTTCGGTTCATTACTCATAAATGAGGGTCGTCCACCAAATTTCTCACGAAATTTCTTGACAAAAACATGTCCACTCGCGTCATCGTTATTGACAAAGTGAATCTCCTTCAGGCTGGAATCCTCGTGATCCCTACTGAATTTCTCGGCGGCCTCGATCATAATTTCAGCGCAGACGTCTTTAGGAATACCATAAACACCACTTCCGATTGCAGGAAGAGCAATCGATCGATACTTTATCGCTTCCTCAAGTGCTCTCGTGCAGGTGAAACTTAACAATTTGCATATTTTTTCACGATTGCTAGCATCCCAACGAGGACCGACAGCATGGACCAGAACCTTACAAGGCAATTTTCCTGGACTTCCACTGAAACATTCACCGTCGAAAAGCTTTCCATTTTCTTTGACATATTCTTCGCACTCTTTTTGTATTTCCCATCCTCCAGCATCCAAAATACTTTTAGCCACTCCACCAACGTGTTTTAAATCGCCATTAGCTGCATTTACGATGACGTCACAGGGATGAACAGTAATATCGTCCTTGTACACTTTAAGTGAGATTTTTTCTCGTGTTTGATAACTACACAGCAATTTTGAAGTTGACTTGCCTGGTTGTGGCGTAGATCTAGACGCGATTACCGTAGATATTCCTCCACTATCTTCTGTCAGTCGGATCAAGCATTTATTTTTCGATTCTATTCCCTCGATTAATATTTTTCCCTCATCAGACTTCAGATATTTTTGACTTCTTGCTTTGTCAAAACAGATTGTATCTTTTGCTATAGTCGACACAAAATCATGCAACTGCCTCTTAGCTTGTTTCACACCTTCTTTTGTACCATTTATTATCACTGCTTCAGCATCTTCTGCGAAGTTCACCCTTACCGAATGCTCTTCCAAATCTTTTTCAATTGCTCTAATGTGTTTCTCACAGTACTCTGTTAAGTATCCTAAATATCCCTCTTCAAAATCAACACTTTCTTTCACAATGGTATTGCGCTTCATGAATTCTTCTAATCGGTCAAAAGATTTTTCTACCTCGGATTTCTTGCCAATTAATAAAATTTCAGTTGACTTTTCGTCAGCGAATATCATAACTGAGGAATTACTCGTAACACTTGCATTAAACTCTGCCCATTTGTTACTAATAAGGAGAGTGCGGCTGTCTTTGTCAAGCGTATACTGTTTCCTAAACATATTGTTCCTTATGTACGAATCAACATCTTCAATTTTAGTGCTATCAAAAACAAGGACCTTAGCTTTGCTACTTCTTGCGTGACTGAGGGAAACCATACCTTTCAACTTTATTTCTTTCATACCACTATTCAACAAATCAAGTCCTCCATTTTGTAGAAAATGTTTTTCATTCTTATGGAGATCGATATTATCTTCAGTGATTTGGGTACATTTTTGTAACAGCTCAATGTTAGCTGCAGAAACATTCTTTCCAGTTCCTTTCAATGTAATTGTGTTCTTCCGTGGCTCGAACGCTACGATTACATGAAAATCTTCCTCTAACATTTCGATGGCACCGTGAAGTGAGAGTAAATCAAATTTGGTTTTAGGCACATTGTGGATCTCTTTGGTAACAAGATTTAACCCCTTTTCCATTTCAGCTATTGCGTCCTGATATTTACTGTGAACGTCAATTACGTCAGCTTTCCTCCCAACAAACTCTATTTGCTGTTGTTTGTCATCTGTTACGACAGTGACACTGACTTTGTTCGCCATAGTCGTTACCATATCTTTCAACTCTTCTTTGTAACCTTCTAATAACTTTTCGCCAATTTTTAATTTTTCAATCGCGAATTCAGCCATGTATTCTTCGATTGCAGTTGCGGTTTCGGTTAGAAATGTGAACTCTTCTTCATTTTCCTTCAAATTTGTGAGCACTTCAGCCCCAAACCGATCAAGCAATTCCTTCTCACAACTCTTGAAAACATGATTCAATACACTTTTGTTTATTTTTATCATCTTTGTGGTTGTTTCTGTTATTATTTCCATAAATGGATAGTGTTGACGTAAGGTTAAAACGGAATTGTTTAGTTTGTGCTCTCGCGCCATTAAAGTACCCACGACTGAAAAAAGGATATATTTCAGATCAGGATGGGGCGAGCACAACATGGTATTATATAGTTGTATCACATTAATTTTTTTCTGGCTAAAGTTCAATTTTGGACGCTAATTATAAGTATATTAATTTTAGGCTATTTGACAGAAACGATTTTTGCAATTAAAATTATTTATAGAAAATGCTTTTTTTTGCATTCTTTCCCACTTTGAGTAGAATTACATAGGTTTTGTCAGCTTTGTTAGTAAGTCGATGTACGCCTAGGTAAGGTAAAAGAGGAATATATTATGTTACTTTACCTCGAGGATCACAGAATGAAACAACTGCTTTTCCTTTGTCTCTTTGGTATATGATATCTCCATATATCCTTCCTCCACCATTTCGTTCATTTTCAAAGTACATCTCGATCGTCTGTTTGGAAGTCTTATCGGAGAGTCCTATTACTAAAACGCTGTTACATACCGGAGGATTGGAAATTTTCAAAACAGCCCCTTCTAGCTTCTTCGTACGGTCCAACACTCTCTTCATATCTGTAAATGTAAAACCTTACGTTAGAAGGCCACGAAACGCCATGTGTGCTAATTAATATTTGTAGGTGTGTGCATCTTAACAAAGACAACTTTTTCTCTTAACATAATATTTAGTAAATGGATAAAAAAATGAAAACAAATCTAATACATAAAATTTTGGTGGTAGACGAAAGTGCATGCCACCAGTGGAAATCATGCACATTTCAAATTAAAAAAAAAGAAACCAAGAACAGTTGAGAAAAATTTACAGCTATATATATAGGTCCTTCAGCTGTAATTGAATTCACGCCTTTTTGAGGAGACGCTGGTGCGGATCGAGCGTTTGCAACTACAGAAATAGCTACCTCTATATTTACTTCAGGCTAAACCCGTGCATTTCATTAACTGCGATTAATTTAATTTCTCAATAGTACCTAGATCTTCAGGAAATGTTATCAAAGCATTTCTGTTATGACCAAAATGAATTTCAGACACTTCCTGGTTTGCTTTTATTTCCATGTAATTAGACAAACTTTCTTCACTAGTGGTTGGGTTTATATTTTCCACGTACAACTTATTTCTGTCCAGAGGAAGGATTAATTCCGGTTCCTTTTCTTTGAGTTGCAAAAGATACCCATCCAGTTCCAGTTTATTCTGCTTTAATACTTGTGCTGCAACTAAAAGACACAAGTACAAAAACATGCTTATCGAAGAAATAATGCATTTTTAAAACTTTAATAGACTTGTTGTAATAAATGCAATGGTGCGATTACCAGCGATTACAAATCTGTTGTTTATCCCTCCATTACAGTGTGAGGTCTACTTTGGGTGGACTACCGTGTATAAGAGCAGGGAATATTATGTATTTGGATTCTTTTAAAAGTGTTTGACTGAAACAGTGGCTTAGTTTTTAACGAACTATTTTGTTTTTAATCGTGATATTTGTGGAGGATTGATCAGACAAAGTAATCAGCTTCATCTGCCTAAGGTGAAGATTAAAAGTGCGAAAAAATCATTCCCCATTGCCATCTTTCACTATTGTAAGAAGTCACCACATAATGGGCGACCCACATAATTGGGACCTGGATCTTACAACATCTTGAAACTTACTTTTGAGTGTTGTAGTGAATTTAACAAATAAATAATTATTTTATAACGTTTTATTAGGAATCTTGTAGCAGAATAAACTTAACCTTCGTGACTGACAAAGGTGATATGAGCAACGTCCGGTTCATTTCTCTCCAGCTTTTCTATTTTTCCTCCACCGGATCTTCTGCCACTTTCAAAGAACATTGTCAAGGCTTCATTTGATGTCTCTTTCCAAAGGCCATTAACTATCACTGTTCGAACTTTACCCAGATGAGCCATTTCAACGTCTTGTTGACTCTGTAGTGAATTGTTTGCAGAATAAATATCTGGGAAAATGTCTGATGCCAGTTTTTATTTTTTCTTCACTATTATACTAGAAATACATGCATGCAGCAAACCCTCGTTATTTTAAACGAAGAAAATATTTCATGACCTAACCAGGGGCCGGTTGTATAAAACTCTTAATCACTTTTCAATCAATTTGTAGTTAAAACGTCGTTAACTTTAATCACGTAGTTAAGCCAGTTGTATAAAAAAGTAGTTATAGCGTTAATCGTAGTTAAAACGTATTTAAAGTTAATCATCCTCAAGGGCATCGTTAACTTTCAAAATCGTAGTTAAAAATGGCGTCTTGAGCTTTTGAGGAGCGAGAAAACATTAAAATCAACACATACTGTCCGTCACATAATCACCGTCACCGTCAATGACACTAGAATTTGAACAACTTTGGATTCCAGCGGCGCAGCCAGAACGATAATTGGGGGGGTCCATATTCATATATTCGTGATACGCAGGATTAATTTCTTTTCAAATCAATTGTCTTTACAGTCTGTTTACATGAATATATTAATATGGACCCCCCAATTATCGATGCTGGCTACGCCAGTGTTGGATTCCGCTGTTCTTTCGGGTTCTTCAGCCGGAGGCTTAGGTGAAACCTGCGCACATGCAGCCAGTAAATAAATAAAAAACATACAGTGTCCCTGGGAAAGAAAATTCTATATTCCCACAAACTTTCTGACAACTAAGAAACTGGAAAAAGTAGCAACACGTATTTTTTATGGATCATTCACGTCGTTTGATAAGTGTTTTCTTTGTAATAATATTCCTTTCCATATAACCAGTTCAAACTGTCACATGTATTCGGCATTGGTGGCGTGCGAAATGCGATTCCAGGGGGGACATATTCATATCACTTGTTAAGGCGGTCAACAACAGCAATATTACGGTATATCCTGTTTTTAAAAATTCGAGGGATACACTATTGAAAGTCCCCCTAATTGATCCTAGATAATATTTCTCTGAAAAAATATATAAACAAACGAGAAGTTTTATTAATTAGGGTTTATCCTGAACAAACAAGTGTTATTGGCGTATTTTTTCGTTCTTCTATTCCGTTGTTCTCTATATCATTAATGAATACACATGCAAAACCTTTTTTGTCGTTTTTCTTCGAGGTTACTGCACATTCATGGGAAAAAGTAAAGTACAAAGAATAAAGCATAATGACGTTATCCGAAGAGGGAGAAAAAAAATTAGTAGTGATGGACGCCCCTAACAGACTGTAAAGACAATCGATTTCAAAAGAAATTGATCAGTATGCAAAACATATTCATAAAATAAATATTGTCCTATTTATTGTGTTTCCTACGCCACTGTTGGATTTCTTTCCCATAACTTTCCAGCGAACTTCACCACTTACCTGAAAGTCTTTTGTATCGTCTTTGTGCATGGCATCTTGAGTCTTTTTAGTTCGTCTCTTGGGAACTGGTTTTATGGGACTATCTTCAGCAGATATTTTAATCGTGTATCCATTAATTTCATGAACTCTTTGTAAAACATTATCCAAGTCTGCAAAGTCAAAAACACATATTTAATTAAACCCAGTCATCACATGACTCACAGTTTTACAATATTTGTTAAAGTTTTATACATGCCTATTGTAGGTGATCACTGGAGTATAAAATGATTTCTCATTTTGAATAATAATTATCCGTCAGCGGCAACCTCTGCTTTGATAATTCTCATTATCACGCTCAACCTGATGCAATGATTATTTATGCGCATATATTTAGCATAGATTTAATTGCTAAATATGGAGTTTATATTCAATTAACACGATATTCAGTAAGGGCGGAGCTAAGGGTTCGCAAAAGAGATTTGTAGTAGTTCAGATTGCGGCAGGGTTGCGTTAAAGGAGTGTTCACAAATTTTGATATATAGTAGTTATTTATAACGATATAAACTATAGGCCTATAATTAATATCAGCAAATCTGATATTGAGCATATCTTATTGTGTGTGAAGCGCTGATTTAAAGTGGTCTTATACACAAAAATCACAATTTATTCTGTTTTTAAAATTTCAAGGGATGGGAACTTCAATGTCTCCCTAATCGATCCTGATTTTTTTCTCAAAAAAATATATAAAGAAAGCGAGTATTAAACGAAAAGTCTTATTTGTTAGGGTTTACCCCGAGCAAACAAAAGGGGTCCATTCGCTCATTCTATTGTGTTTTTTTTGTTCTATTGGTTTGTTCTCTATAATTTTTGAATAAGGCATGCAAAACGTTTTTCGAAATTCTCATTTCCTTTATTTTGGGAAAAGATAACTCAAAAAGTAATAAAGCTAACTTTATTTTCATGGTAGACTTTAGAGACATTTGGGTCGGACGTGAACCTAAAAGTGTTGTATTTCGTTAATTCTAAGAAAAATAGCAGAACGCAAATAGATCGCAGAACGTTAAATACTCGGAAAGTCTTATTTATTCGAGGTTCAGCTCCGAGCTTCTGCTTGTTTTAGGGGGTCAGCGTCTTTCTTCATTTGGTCTGCTGGTTTCTGGTTGCCACTTCGGGGACAGTGTCGCTGTCCACATTTTCTGGTTGACACGTGACCAGTGCGTTAGCAAATAAAACAACGCTTGTCTCTCCGTAAAATTTCCTTTCGATCATGCACACGAGTTACTTTCTCGCAAAACGCTGAGTAGTGCTGTTCATTGCAATACGCGCATCGAATTTTCGTTAAATCGCCTTGGTTTTGTTTTCAAAACAACGCCTGAGCCCAAAGCCGTAGAGTGTGGTTTTCTGTTTCGTTCAACTGCGTGGGGTGTTCTCGACTCGTTGAACTTTATTTGGCCGCTCGCTTCTCTGGCTTCGATTTCCCTTTGATTGGTTTGTAAAAGCTCGTCGATATTCCAAATTTTATTCGTCGACATTCCTGCAACCTCCAACCGTAAACTAATTGGGAGCTTTCACATCAATATCGGTATCAACAGACTATCGTATTGTTCTGGAGAAACGACTAGTGCCTCCAATCCACGTACATGCACGTAAACAAACCTAACAGACGATGATCGTTCATTTGAACAAGGTTGCACTTTAAGAAGCTAAAGAAGCTCATCCATACGAGCGGCGATTATTTGCTGCGGTCGACCGAATATCTCCTCCAGGGGCCGGTTGTATAAAACTCTCAACTACGTTTTAACTACATTTTAACCACCCAACTGTAGTTAAAACGTAGTTAACTTTAATCACGTAGTTAAGCCAGTTGTATAACTGTAGTAGCGTTAACTGTAGTTAAAATCTAGTTAAAGTTAACTATCCTCAAGGGCATCGTTAACTTTTCAAAACATAGTAAAAATGGCGGCTTTGAGACTCATTGACTGGGTTAGGTGGAAAACGCGGGCATGCGGACATGCGGACAAGCGGACATGCATACATGCGGACAAATGGACATGCGGACAAGCGGACATGCGGACAAAATCCTAAAAAATCATTATACTCACATTCGAATTAGAATATACAATCTCAGCGATTTCCGCAAAAATAAGAAACGTGAAAAACAAGAAACTCTTTCCTTCCCCATTCCTCAATTCCTCAATTAAGCTCGTCGCTCCAAAAAATATAGACAGTCTTGGAGTAAGTCGTCAAGTCATCATAAAAATTAACTTCGGCTCGTACGATTTTTTTAAAACTTGTATATTTTACGCATATCAAGATGACAGGAAGGTGAGTGAGTGAAGTTTTAAAAAAAATACCAAAGGAAACATGAGAAAAATACATTTATCTTTATGCATGTGATGTCACAAAAATCAGGATCTCAATTTTCTCGCATGTATTCGCTGGAACCACTGCTGTATATAAACATTGCTAAAATACACAAGAATAGGACTTCATTTTGATTGATTTTATTATAACTGTATTTGCATGTGTTAAGTTATCACGCTGTAATTTGAACGGTATCTTTAAAATGCGTACAGATCATTGCAAAAATTTGATTAATACTGCCTGAGGATTAAGGTTGGCAACTTTATCACGAATATTTAATAATAATATATTAATACACACATATCAAACTTCGCTTGCATGAAACTAAAAAAGTTCCTCAAAATACTGCAAAGTAACTAAATATAAAAGACTTGGATATATTTTCTAAATGTTTTGAAAAACATTAATTTATCGGGATTTGTTTTGTTGATAGGCGGGATCCCATTTGCTTGACATACGTCATCATAGGAAAAATCCCGAAGTAATCCTAAAAATTCGAATTTTTAAAAGCCAATAGGAAGGAAACTTAGAAAATATATCCGAGTCTTTTATATTTAGTTACTTTGCAGTATTTTGAGGAACTTTTTTAGTTTCATGCAAGCGAAGTTTGATATGTGTGTATTAATATATTATTAAATATTCGTGATAAAGTTGCCAACCTTAATCCTCAGGCAGTATTAATCAAATTTTTGCAATGATCTGTACGCATTTTAAAGATACCGTTCAAATTACAGCGTGATAACTTAACACATGCAAATACAGTTATAGCAAAATCAATCAAAATGAAGTCCTATTCTTGTGTATTTTAGCAATGTTTATATACAGCAGTGGTTCCAGCGAATACATGCGAGAAAATTGAGATCCTGATTTTTGTGACATCACATGCATAAAGATAAATGTATTTTTCTCATGTTTCCTTTGGTATTTTTTTTAAAACTTCACTCACTCACCTTCCTGTCATCTTGATATGCGTAAAATATACAAGATTTAAAAAAATCATAGGAGCCGAATTTAATTTTTATGATGACTTGACGGCTTACTCCTAGACTTGTCTATATTTTTGGGGGCGACGAGCTTAATTGAGGAATTGAGGAATGGGGAGGGAAAGGGTTTCTTGTTTTTCACGTTTCTTATTTTTGCGAAAATCACTGAGATTGTATATTCTAATTCGAATGTGAGTATAATGATTTTTTAGGATTTTTGTCTGCGTGTCCGCTTGTCCGCATGTCCGCATGTCCGCTTGTCCGCTTGTCCGCTTGTCCGCTTGTCCGCATGTCCGCATGTCCGCATGTCCGCATGTCCGCATGTCCGCATGTCCGCATGTCCGCATGTCCGCATGTCCGCATGTCCGCATGTCCGCATGTCCGCATGTCCGCATGTCCGCATGTCCGCATGTCCGCATGTCCGCATGTCCGCATGTCCGCATGTCCGCATGTCCGCATGTCCGCATGTCCGCATGTCCGCATGTCCGCATGTCCGCTTGTCCGCTTGTCCGCTTGTCCGCATGTCCGCTTGTCCGCATGTCCGCGTGTCCGCTTGTCCGCATGCCCGCGTTTTCCACCTAACCGCTAACCGTAGTTAACTTTAACTACGTTTTTATACAACCGGCCCCTGGGGGCGGTTGTATAGAACTCTTAATCACGTTTTAATCACTTTTTTGTAGTTAAAACGTCGTTAACATTAATCACGTAGTTAAGCCAGTTGTATAAAAAGTAGTTAGCGTCAATCGTAGTTAAAACGTAGTTAAAGTTAATCATCCTCAAGGGCACTACTTTCCAAATCGTAGTTAAAAATGGCGTCTTAAGCTTTTGAGGGGTGAGAAAACATTAAACTCAACACATACCAAGGTTGTCAACCGTTATCCACTCAAAAAAGGCCCGTCGAAGCTTGTAAACTTTCAATATGCTTGTATTTTTGTCATTTGGGCAGCAACGGAGTATATTTTTGCTTCGGAAGACGTGTCGATTAGCAAAGATTAGCCATCTCCATTTTCAATTGCATTTCATAAATGTCGCCTCAATATAACAATGCTTTATCTTTATTACTTCGCTCAAATACAGCATTTTTAACGTTTACTCAACATATCAAAACAAAAACTGGGCCCTAGCCCCTGTAATTTTCAGCGTCCGCCCCTATTCCTCGTCTTTTTGCTTTGCTCCACGTGCAAAGCAGCCATAGATCTTACTGTTCAAGAAGAAAAAGACTCTTTGGATGCGGATAATACAGGCAATCTCGTACCAGATTCGTTTGCATCATTACTGCAAAGTTCACAGTTTATTAATTTGATAAAAGAAAGTTTATTACCGTCTCTCTTTGACGGCGTAAGACAGTCGTTCTCGGCACATGCCGAATCGACCAACACTGAACAAACATCATTCACCGGGAACTCTGCCGGGTCAAAAAGTGGAGATAGTCTGCCCAGTTCCGCCTCTGGGTCAACAAAAGGTCGGCCACTTCCCAGACCTGCCACTGGGTCAACAAATGGTGTAAATTCGTCAAGCGAACCACCCACAAAAAGGTCTCGCTTAGATAGTACGACGTCAAACGCCACAGGTGTGATTGACGTCGAAGATGAAGCCTTACCGGACAATTCCCAAGGACATAATGTCAATGAAACCTTTGAGAGCGAAGACGACGTACTAGAACTCACTGCTCAACGTTGGCAAGCTTCGGAGGAGCTGTCCGCCGTCCTCAATGTGTGTTTTGCAAAACCACTTTCTCGTTTTGACAAACGTCAGTTGATAAAGTCTTTTCCTCGTCCTAACGTTGACTGTGTATATACATCAGTCCTGGATAAACTTCTAGCAGAATTGGTTCCGAAATGTAAAGTTGATGATAAAACATTACGAAAAACCGAAGATTTACTCCTAGATGTAACCGGACCAATTACCATGTGCTATGAAATGGTCTTGCAAGGCTAATAAACAACCCAGCTAATTTAGACACTTCGGCCTTAAAGGGTTGCCTCACCAAATCCTTTCAGTTATTGGGCAATGTTAATGATCATATTCGTAATAAGAGACGAGCTCAAGTACTTTCCAAAATTGGTCAGAGATACCTGTCCCTATCCGATGAAACCTGGGACACTAATGGGAAAGAGCTTTTTGGTCATCAATTTGAACAAAGATTGAAACAAAGAGCCGAGACTGCACAAACCATCACATCCGCTAGCTTCACTCCCAAGTCAAAGCCGTTTTTTCCAAACAGCACCTCCTCCCCAAAGCCATGGCAGAGAGGAGGTGCAAACAACTACAATTACCAATACCCTCGAGGACGGGGCCAATCCTACCGCAGAAACAGACCATACAGGGGCAGAGGACGGGGGTCATCAACCTTCACCCGCTCAACAATGCCACAAGGTCAATAGGAACCTCCCTAAATACAGGTATGTTCCCGACTCAAAACATAATATTTCAAGCCAATATGCCCTTAGCAGGCAGAATAACTCATTTTTACGACAACTGGGTAAAAATTACACAAGACCTTTGGGTCCTAGAAACAGTAAAAGGACACAAGTTGGAGTTCACCACAACTCCCTATCAGACATATGTTTCAAAAATGCATGTCACTCTCGAGGAAGCAGCATTAATCGACCTCGAGGTTCAAGCTCTGCATCACAAAAAAGCTATAAGCAGAGTGTCAGAGGAAAACAGTTGTCGTGCAAATCAGTTTGTAAACCCCTTATTCACAGTCCCCAAGAAAGGAGGTGGGCACCGGCCAGTCATCAATCTAAAAATGCTGAACCAGTTCATAGAATACCAGCATTTCAAAATGGAAGGCATACCCACGCCAAAAGATCTATTAAGGATGCTTATCTGACGGTTCCAATTTGGCCTCCTCACCAAAAATTTCTACGATTCGAGTGGAAAAACAAGGTGTGGCAGTTCCAATGGACTGGCGAGTGCCCCCCGAACCTTCACAAAATTATTAAAACCAGTTGTGGGTCACCTAAGAAAAATGGGAATACGATTGATTATATATCTAGACGACATTTTAATAATGTCCGAGTCAAAAGAGTTGGCTCACAAACACACCAGCACAATTGTCAATCTTTTAAGCAGTCTGGGTTTTGTGGTAAACGAAGAAAAATCAGTGTTCGAACCCACTCACGTACTCGAGTTTCTAGGATTTCAAGTCAGTTCGAAAAGCATGAGCTTGTCTCTCCCAGGGGAAAAGATAAGGTCTATCAGAAAAGAGTGCCCTTTCTCGATTACTGGGAAAACTGTCCGCTTCAATTCAAGCAGTTTTCCCTGCCCCACTACACTATCGATTCCTCTTAAGAGCAAAGAACCTTGCTTTGAAACTAAACCAAAG